AATTCAAAAGTTGCGAGTGAGTGTGAATAAATAAAGCTGAGAGGGGGAATGGTTTCTTTGGTGCAGCTTGCGAGCGCTATGCTCGTGGTCAGCTTTCAGTGGCATTTTCGACAGGAGGGCGCATGCACAGATATAATCGGCGTTCAAGCACGCGCACCCGTACATCTGACTGCATAGCCATTGGACGTCCACAAAACGCGACGACTTCACCGACGCCGTGCTGGTTGCAAAGTGATACTTGTTCACTTGGTTTGATTATGCTGTTTTGTGTTACATAGAACTCAAATCAAATGGTTTACTTTTTACGCGCGGGGCGTACGCTTTACTTCTTGATTCGACCTCTTTCAAGCTGAGGTCACGGTCAAAAACATCGACGTGTATTGACTAAGTGTAGCCATCTTGAGATCTAAGCAATCACGCTAAGGACGCTGAGGGCAGTCCGCTCTACAACTTGTGAAGCGGAGCGCACGCTCACTCCGCTAACTATACGCTCCAACTCAGAGCGGGCCACGCATGCGCGGTGGGGACGATGCTTCTCGCAGAGCGTAAAGTAGAGCAAAGAGGGCTCATAACAGTGGCCTACTAATACTCATAGATTACGAACGCGCTCGTCGTGACTTCTCCTGACACTGCCCATGTACACCTTTGGCGTATAGAAAAAGGTAACTTTTCACCAGACAGAGCAGCTGTGCTAGAAACAATGGAAATGCGAAATTTACACAAACCATGCAGGGTCTCACCTGTGAGCCCAGGCTCTAGTTTCGCCAGGGTCAACCACCTATGTTTGTTCATGTCAGCGAGCAGGTGGCCGAACCTCTCGTTGATGTGACCCACGATAAGGTTCACAGAACTGAAGAACACCGACAAGTTCCGTCCAAACGCTCATCCAAGTACGAACAGACGGTTGGGATAGGCCAGTCGAGGAAGAACCATGCAAAGCGTCTCGCCAGATTGGCAACACCCTGCGCCGATCTGTCGCGTGCTAGTATTTGGAGGCCCGCATGCAGAACAGCCAGGTCCTTCTTTAAGCAGGATAGCTTCCTAAAGGGTTTCTTTTCTACGTTGGAAATATCCAGCAAACCGCGTTCGGAAAGGAAGCTTCGGCGCTTGAAGCACGAGGGATACGAATCATAGATTCGATGTCTCGCCAGCTTAATCTCGTTAGTAGAAGTCTCCTTCCTTGAGAACAGCGGGGATTCATCGTGCAGATGCCTTGCCTTGAGCAACACTGTACTCGTACTACGCAAAAGGATGTAATGCGCAAACTTCGTCCTTTTCTCTTATTTTTCTACTTCGAATAAGTAAATATGTTTCATTTTAAATCGAGTGGAGCAGAAGCTACAAGAGCGAGTGCCGGCCTTTCAGCGTCCTTGATAAGCACGCGCGCTCGTGCAGTGCAAGTACCGTTTAGAGCAACATGCTCATGCTTATACCTTCGGCTTCACTCGCACACAAGGTGGAACGATTGTATTTATCTTTTATAGGTTAATATATTTTCGGGTGTGTCCCTACTCTTCTGTGTTTATTATTGTCGCCCTCGTTTTTACTACCTCTACAATCACGCTCCGTTTTACTCTCTTGGTGTTAACGCTTAGGTTTTTTTGTCTTACTAGTACTATAAACGTCCACTTGTGGGGCTACGCAAGCAAATTTTCGAACCTGCTCAAAACGCTCTTACCCCCCATTCACACTGGAAGCGGATCCGCGTTCGCAAAGCGGTTGCGAACGCGGTTGTATAAGGATTCAGTACAATTGCACGCGCACACGATGACATCAAATGCGCGTGCAATTGCATGGATCTTTATAGAACCGCTTTCACAACCGCTTCGCGAACGCGGATCCGCTTCCAGTGTGAATGGGGGGTTACGGTGAAGAAAAACGCTTTACTAGGGAGTTTTAGAATAACGTACGCAATTTTAGCGCACGCTAGCGCTAAATTTAGCGCTTGTATTAGCGCACGCGACGCAGGATAGTTTTAGAATAGCGTTTCTCCGCCGCGACGCAAAAGCCCAAGCATCTCGCGCTTGCGACGCCACCAAGATAGGGTAACAATTTTTATTTCACACACGAAATGGTGTAACTTTAGAAAAAAAACGAGTTTATTGGTCCAGAGTAGCATTTTAATTTGTTTAAACATGAGAACGCGACGCGAGCGGTTGACCGGTCGTGTCCGCTTGCGTCGCCTCGGCAAGAGAGGTCTCGTGTACTGACCTTCGCACATCGTTCGTTCGCCGTGAAATGTTCGCGCGTCGCAAGCATCAAGTTGCCGGTGATCGCTGCCAAACCGAGTACAATGTCGTCCCGTATTGAAAATTGCAGTCGCGAGGATGCCGCCGACGTCGAACTCACGACGCCGCCAAAACAGCCGCCGGCATAATCCTGGAAGCCGCCATTTTTTTTAACTGTGCTCGTCTTGGCTTTAGCCAACTTCTCATCACGAATCCTCCTTGGAGAAGCGCAAAGAATCTTTGCGTACGCCCGCTATTTCCGAGAAATAGCGCACGCTAAAATTGCGCACGCAAAGCGCAAAACCTGGTTTGCGTTCGGAGCATGCGCAGTGGCGACGACGCTATTCTTTGCGTACACAAAGCTTTAGCGTGCGGTATTCTAAAACTCCCTACTAAAACGCGTTTTTGGACCTCCGCTTTCCATTCCGATGAAGCGGGCCGCGCATGCGCAGTTTGGCACCCTCAGAGCGGAGCGGAAGATGAAAACGGTCTACTAAAACTCTTTATTGAAAATACAAGCAGTCTTGATCGAAACTCCGAGCTGGCGTGTCGTGTCTTTCTTTACCGGTGTGCCCGCTTGGTCCCCGGCCACCGACCATCTCGCGTCCCACGCGCCACGGCAATGTAAGCCTTTCCAGCATCTTTACAGGCCTTTCGGGGCGCTGTTTTTATCCTAGCTTTCCATGTCTCTTACCACCCACCCGTAATGGCCCCACGCGACCATTACAGAAGCTGCAAGCCCCTTCGATCAGTCATACATTCATCATTTGCCACATGATCACGCTGTCATCCCTATCTACGAGCAGAGAGCAAATTCTAATGAAGAAATAAAGACGGTTGATTGGCCAGTAAGAGCCCTTCGCTGTCGACGGACGGCGATGCTGCGGCCAGGGCTTCAGGTATCAGTTTAGCTTGGATCAGCACAAGTACCTGGTGCATCTCGCGGACCGCTCGTATCGGTGCCAGCTCTGCCCGGAACGCTTCGATCGGCCAGGAGTCCCGGACTGCACCACACCGGTCAAAATACCTGTTCGTGCCAAGTGCGCAGCTACAAGTCGCCGGGCAAGTGCAACTTCGAGAGGCGCGAAGAAGCCAGGCACAGCGTAGTGAAGAACAGGGTGCCCGTCGACGTCCGACTACCGACAAGGATGACGTTCCTCCTGCTGACAAGGACTCTCGACTTGTGTCCGGTGTAGGGAGCCACCTCAGGCCCAACTACGGGGAAAAGGCCTCAGAGAAAGACCACAGAGGTTCCGGAATGCCGCAGGGTGAGTCTCGGTATCCTCGTCGTTGCTCTATCTTTCCTTCCTTTTTCACCCTGGTTAACTGTAGTAATCTCCTCTACACGGCGGTACGAAAGGAGAGGACGCTAACAGCACTCATTGTGGCCGGGTAGGAAGCCGCGGCCCCGCGCGTTCGGGGCTTACGAAGAATGAGACAAAGACATGTTGCCTGCTGGGTGTCCCGTAGTTCTCTGACGTCGCTGACGGACGGCGGCTCTTTTATTAACATATGTCACGTAACATCATAGATGCATAAACACACATAACAACAAGGTAAGACAACCCGATAAACTCACCATCAAAGCATACTAAACAGAACACACGTTGCGCCATCTGGTGGCAAAATCACTTATCACAGATCACTACATTAACCTCTTTGTTTTTGCCCTGTCCCCAATTCAGAGGAGCCAACCTATAGACAAGCCACCTTGATTACCCTCTTTGTTTTTGCCCTCTCCCCTTACCTTCTTCGTAAGACACTTACGACATTGAATTTGAATGTATGTGACTGCAAACACACCTGAGTAAGGAGTAATTGTGTTTTGTGTATGCTAAGACAGCGGGAAGTCAGCCACAGTGGGCGCCTAATGTCTACGCTATGGATGAGAAATTTAGCCGGTACAGTACCACTGCTATCCTGAGATCTCCAACGTGCATCACGCAGTAGTGATACACGATCGCACACCGGTACTCTGCTCAGCCAGATAGAAACGGTCAGAAGTAGGGGCTGAACTCAAAATCTCTAGGTCCTACAGCTCGAGCTTTCGCTCCACCGTGCTCCAGCTGCTTTTCATTCTACGGTCCCTTATAACTTATAAACACAAATACCAAGTGTTTTTTTTTTCTGTTATTTTTTTTCCAAGAGCATGCAGGAGGGCTATTGAAAAAAAAAATCGAAGTAGAACATGAAGTTCTAGCGTATAGGTCTTGGATAATAGTTTCATGCCCGCAGATTGCCTGAAAATGAACTTCTGCAAGAGCCGAGGCGTTGAACACTACTGCACAAAGCTAAGCCGTCGTCCCACTGCTAATACGCCATGGAGAAGGCAATCTGCACACACCGTATGAGGTGTGTTTGCTTCTACGGTCCCATTGGTCATGCAAACGGGGTTTGCAGGCATGTTCGAATCATGTATAAAGGATACATGCTGAGGCGTGTCCGCAGATGTCGTCATGTTTGTAGGGCACACCGTGTCTTCTGTGGCATTGCACTGCCGCGCTAAATTTAGAGGGTGGTGCTCATCCGACGCTCCGACGTCACGTGGCACAATGACTGGCACTGAATTCGCGCTAAATTTAGCGGAGAAATGTTCGCTACTGATTTTGGAGGGAGAATGCTTGAAGTCACATGGCATCACGTCAAAGTGTAGCATCATAACGTCACGAAACACTTGGCGGAAATTTTTCCGCCAAGTTTAGCGGGCCACGACGGACGTACACGGAAATGGGAGGGCGCCACGAGAGCGCAACGACACGAGAGCGCCGCGACATGAAAGCGCGTGTCATCAAAGCGGGCGTCACAAGAACGCTGAGCAACAGCTGCGGTCACTAAGGTGCTTTTCCCCGTGGTAGTATTGAATCCCCTTCTGTAGAAACTGGGTTGTTATACATTGAAGTAACTGTTATGCGACAGCTGCAGCACTGCGCAATTTGTAAGTGCAGTTTCTTATTTTGTCATTAATCTTAAGAACGAACGATTTCATTTCTAGCGCGTTCCAAATTTAACGTTTTCCCGACGCTTGCCAGAAATAGACATGATAATGATGTGACATCTGCGCGCACGGTAAGCACTTGTAGCCTTACTCTCAGTAAAGAACTGAAATGTTTAATCCCGGAAGAAAGCTGATGCCAAAACCAATTTTTGTTTTCATCCATATAGATATGTGAACCGAATTGTTTTCTTTCTAGGGGACAAAAATGACAAGTAGAATTCTTTCGGGAGCGAAAGTAGTGACCAGTTTAAAAAAAAAAGGAGCACTCTATAAGCGGCAACGATGAACACTCCGCGGTAATGTATTGAGTTAGAATAGTAGCGACGTTTTTATGGTTGGGTTTAATGTGTTCCGGCGAGGTCGTGAATCCAGAGGGGGAAAAGGGGGGGGGGGGGGGGGGTATAACACTCCTTGTCAGTTGGTTTCGAGTGTACATCTATCAAACTCGAGTGTCTGTTCGTTGGGGTTGTCACTCAATGTTTATAGGGGCACTGTACAGGTACCCGCAAGATGGTATGGATCTGCTCAGAAATTTATCTGAATTTTTGTCAATCAACTTAAATAGTACTGGCTGGAGTCTAACTTGCCAGACATTGACTGGGACAACATGATCCCCATAGGCAGCCGTGCGCACTCAAAGCTACTTGTAGATATTGCTTTTAGCAATATTTTAAGCCAAGTAGTGAGATGCCCCACGCATCTGTCAAAATGTCGTGATTCTTTGCTAGCTGTGGTGTTTTTTTTTCCCTGAGATTGCTGCCAGAAATGTTCTTAATGCATCAGACGAGAAAGGCATACAGCAGCAGCGGTAGTACGCTGCACTGAGACTAGACGCCTCATCTCGCTATTTCAGTTGCGGAGTACACTTCTGGCCGGTCTTCATCGCTCTGAAACACCGTCATCGTGCCTTGAATCATCTACTCGTGTCTGTGACCGGGAGCTTCGTCAGCGATTGGTGAACGAAATCAGCGCCATCTGCTCGTGGCTGTGCTTGGGAGCTCCGCCGGCAAGTGGCAGATGGGACCGGCGTCACCGCGGCCACGTCATCACTCTCGGCTTGCAGACGCACAGCAGCAGTGGCAGTGCGCTGCCTCATCTTGCTATTTTAGGTTGGTTTTCCGTTACGTTGTATGAATATTTTTTTTTAAATTTCCGTGATCTGTTGCTGGTGCGGCTGCTTTTTTTTTTTTTTTTTTTTCGCGCTCCTTGCGTGATTCTATGTTTTACAAACAAAATGGCCCTGGATACAAATGATATGTCTGGTATGTACTGAAGAAACATCAGAAAGTGAATCGCAAATTGAATGCACGGAATCTAAATACTCTTATCACGGAGGCAGTTGTGCAGGAATTTCAGAAGTGACACTTCAAAAGAATGCTAAATTTTGAAAAGCATAGCGGTGCCAGACTTGCAGAGCTGCTTAAGTCTCAGAGCAGTCAAAGCAGTAGGCAAGCTAAAGAACAAGGTGTCGCTACCGTGCTTCCGGTATACTTAGAGCGACGTGCAAAACTGAACTCAATGTAGCTGTTCTCCTGGCTGGCATGAATGTTAGACTTCACACACCCTTAGACGTTAAGGAAACCGTAGATGGAATGGAAAAGTCATTCCAGCATATGTCAGACAACTGTGACGTCACGCTCAAGCGCGTTAGTAAACAGGACGAAGAGATAAAAGGTTTAAAGAAATGAGTTACAAACTTGAAAAAGACGAATGCAGACGCGGAAATCGATTACTTAAAGCAAAAAGTGCATGATCTTGAATGGAGGAATCGCAGGCAAAACCTTGAATTGCATGGGATTCCTGCAGGCAAAAATGAAGATCTGTTTAAAATAAATAAAGTGGCAAAGAACCTGGATGTACCTGATCTGAAATCGGATTAAATTATCGCAGCACACAGACTTCCCTGGCGTGCAGACAGGACCCCCGGAGTTATTGTTCGCTTTGTCAGCCAGGCGACCCGGGATATGTGGCTAGACATCACGACTAAGGAATGCTCGGAATAAGATTCATATCTTGGAAAACTTAACCCAGCAAGATAAGGAACTATACTGTGGGATACGAAAGAATGGGCAAAAACAAACAGGTTCCAGGTACAAAAAATGGCAAGATTCTTGTCAGGGAAAAAGACAGAACTCACGCACATCTAATAAAGACTAAAAACGATTTGCAAAAGCTGAAGTAGTTTTGCTTTGGGTATTGCAGTTTTTTTTTAACTTCACTCGTAATGACGGACATATCTTACTTATTGACAAATGAGGTTGTTCAACTTTTTAAAGACCAACCAAATGTGCCTTTTTCGTTATTTCATTTAAATGTTTAATCAGTGCGAAATAAGTTTGATGAACTTTGCATCTTTCTGGACAGTTTTACACTTTCTTTTTATATAAAAATGGTAACTGAAACATGGTATTACCAGAGAGATGACGTGGATCAACTAAATAAGTATTCAATTTAAATCATAGCAACAAAGTAAGAGGAGGATGTATGTACATAAAAAAAACCTTGAATATAGCATCGTTAGTGATTTCACAGTGACAATTGACTATGAGATTTTAACTTTACAGCATGCTAAATTTGTATCCTCTGTCGTCTATCGACTGCCAAATGGGAACGTTGCGACCTTCCTTTAATTCTTTGAAGATTTGTTTAAAGTTCTTTGGTGAAACCAAATGTGTGGTAACTTTAATATAGACATGCTTACCATCTCTAAACATCAGCTTGATTTACTGTCGTTGTATCAGACATTTAGATTGTCTAATGTTATTTCGCAGCCTACTCGTATAGCGCCTTCGAATGACACGTTGCTTGACTTATTTTGAGCGAATGTTCGCACTACAAAGATACTTGCTGGCGGGATCGGGGTAACGATTAGCGATCACCTGCCAATCTTTTTGTTCGTAAATTTCAGCAGCAAAAAAAAAATAAAAAGCTAGTGCTGCTCAGTCTTTTTCTAAAAACATCAGCACAAAAAACTTGCAACATTTTGAACAACAGATATTTTCTCCGAACTGGGGTGCGGTGTTGTCTAGCGTATCAACTGACGAAGCATTTGATTACTTTCTTGATAAGTTTAATATGATATACGACTGTTGCTTCCCCTACAAAGAGCAGAATATTTCCCACAAGTCACGTAAACCATGAATTACGTCAGAAATAAAAAAAAAATTACAAATAAAAAAAATACTCCTTACCATCAATTCGTACGTAGCAGAGACGCTAACGTAGGCTAAATTAAAGAACAAATAAATCACTGTACAAGGGCCTTACGGCAGGGAAAACGTTCATATTTTAACAATTTAATTCAAGGTGTAAACAGATCCGATGTTATATAAAAAAAAATTGGATGGTCTATACTATAGGTTTGACTTGAGCTAGTTCGTACATATTGCATAGGGTCAGCTGAACAGTTACAAATTAGAAAAAAACCGCGAGAGGAACAGACATACACACCGCTGATTATCAACTTGCCTGTTAGGAAAAAGAAAAAAAGGAATACTTCGTCTTCCTTTTTTATGTTTTTATTTTTTTTTAACTACCCAGGCTAGTGATAAAAAAAACCATCCCCATTTTACCATATCTTACGTACATATTTAATTTAGCACTTCAATATGGAACCTTTCCACAAAAAAAAATGCAGATAGCACAGGTGACGCCAATATATAAAACCGGTGATAATAATGACAGAAAATTATCGATTTACGCATCTTTTACAAGGGATTAGAAAAAATCATACATCAAAGGCTTCATGCTTTTTGTGGGAAGTTTTCAATCATTACGCCCTGTCAATATGAATTTATGAAAGGTCTCTGGGGAGTGAGCTTGCACTTTTAAAACAAAAATACCCAATTTTGGGCAACATCAAAGCGAAGCTGGTAACACTTCGCATATTCATTGATTTCACAAAAGCCTTCAACCGCATAAACCATAAACATCACTTACGAAGGTGTACCCTTATGGGGTTCGTGGGGTCGCTTTACAGATGATCAGCTATCGTCAAAGCCGCCATCAGTGTGCTAAAATAAATAAGAAACTATCAAATTTCAGGCCACTATCTCCCGGTGTACCACAGGGCAGTATTTTGGGGCCACTCCTCTTCAACTTGTATATTATTGATCTAATAACTATTCACGATAATGTGAACTTTAATATTTATGCGGACGATACGAGTATATTTTTCCGGTGTTAACACGAATAAAACAATATGTAATGCAAATCATTATCTTAATAAATTAAATGCTTGGGCATCATCAAATTCCCTGCAAATAAACGTAAGTAAAACGAAGGCCGAAGTATTTAGATCTCAAAATACAAATTTTAGTCCTAGGAATGTACTTTTTCTTGGTACGGGCAATATTGATACAGTTGAGAGCATGAAAGTCCCGGGGGTATGACTTGGAACGATATGGTGCCATATACATGTAAAAGCCTATCGAAGGCTGTGGGTATAATATACAGATATCGCCATATGATTCCTAGTTCGGCCATGATACTCGTTTACAACTCTATTTTTCTACGCTCATTATGAGTATTGCTTTTTGGTGTTGGGAAATACGACTTTAACTATTATCAATCAAATGCATATCCTTCAGAAGAGAGTGATTCGTGTCACATGTCATAGTAGCTATGACTGCCATACGAAAACAGTGTTTAAAAAAATTAATATTGTGAAAATTACCAGTTACCAAGGAAATTGTCTACAACACTCGTTCTGAAGATGCGTGGGCAGTACCGCACTCGAGGACCAATTATTGCAATCAAACGTTGAGATATACACTACTGCGCCTTTCAAATTGTTGCAGTGAATTGAATAAAATACTTTGAGTCGAACTCGGAAGGATATACGTTCTGTTTTCAATGTGTTAATAATTTTCTTAACTACGTTCCTGAAAAGCATGAATCGATTGCACGATGTAGCTTACTTATTTTCCTTTTATTGGTGTAGAGACGGTGCATTTGTATGTATATGTGTACGTGTATATATTTCTCTGCTATTGTAAGGGGGAGGGGGGGGGGGGGGAGCAGAGGCTCGTCAAGCAACATTGAGTCACTTTTTTCTCTGCCTTTCCTCTCCGAACGGAGAGAAATAGGCTTTTGACTTTTGACTACGCAATAGAGACCTGGGACTTGTCTTTCCAGCGGAGTACGAGTGATACTACAGAATTCAAAGTGTTAAGTGATTTCACCTGGCCAGATGATGTCGGCATCCTCAATATGTTGGAAGTAGCAGGTAGCATTTGACTAGTTTTCCGAGATAAGAAATCGTAATGGAGTACGTGTCAATAAGTTACGGTTCTTCTTTAAGCATGTTGTGTGGCGAATTCCACTGTTCGTTTGGAATCAATGGCCTAAATCCGCGACGAGGCACGGGATCAATGCGCAGCCGCTGTGGGTCGTAGTATTGCCCGCAGGAATGGTCATTCTTGTCTCGAGCTTGCGTCGGCCAGTGGGCGATCAATGTCAACACAAATTGCTTTTGCTCGTCGTTTTAGAGGAGCGCCGACTCCTGATCGTCAATCCGGATTACAGTAAAACTCTCGAAATCGGAGGATTCGGAAGCCGGCTTCTGAGATAACGTGACTTTACGGTGCGCATTGCAGTAACGCCAGTAGTTAGACTAAGATTACATTTATAATTTTAGAAAGTGGATAAGGCAAAATTTGGACTCGTGTTAATGTAGTGTAATGTTTAATGACACCGTCTCAGGTGAGTGAATAACACTTTCCCTTGTATAAAACTTGGGACTATACAAAAATGAAAAAAATAAATAAATAAAAGCTGCTGTCTGCCTGTTTGTTGCTGTACCACAGAAAGTTAACATCCCCGTGTTGATGAAGGCACGGCGGAAACCATTGAGGGCGAAGAATGATCGCGGCTGTCCGATTTGTCCGGCCACATGCCGCCATGTTTCGGCCGGCTTGCCAGCCCCTGCCGCTCCAGGAGCAAAGGCGGTCTTCCTCTCGTGGAGTCGGAGTTCGAAGCGGATAGCGTGCTCCGTTACAGATTTATACCATTGATCATAAGAGGGAGCGGTGTAATTTGCCCTTAAAATTGCATCGCTTTAATTTCGAGACTCGGCCTCGTTTAATTCTCTATTCACGCAGCTCACACGTTGCACGATGTATTCAAGAGCTCTCCTTTATAACGATTATAACCACTGAAATGACAAACGTCTTTTGACCTGATTTTCTACTCGCAGACGATGCCGCGTGTAGCGGCCAGCAGTTGCGCGGGACTCGGGAGCTGCGTCCCCACCACGTCAGCTGACGCCGACCACGAGGCGCGGGGAGCTGCTCACATCCTCGTGCGGATGTTCGGGAACCAGTTGTCCTCGTCAAAGTTCAGCCTTGCGCGACCAACAAGCGGCTCCGGTTTCTACACTTCGTTTCAGCTTCGGTCCGAGCGCGGCCGATGTTATGAGCCGAAGGGCCAATCAAACAGCGAAAGAGGCACAACGTCATGGCGTGCTTTGTGCAGTGATAGGACCAGCCGGTATTCGCCGTTTCTCTGTGCGTGCTCTTCTGCCGGCTAGTTCTATCAAGCGCAGAGAGCACACCATGACGTTGCGCTTTTTGCGTTGTTTGATTGGCCCTTCGGCTCATAACATCGGCCGCGCTCGGACCGAAGCTGAAACGAAGTGTAGAGACACGGCTCGCATCATAGCCTTCTATACTAAAGCCTGGCAGATCGCCACGAGAAGCGGGCGCCGAAATGAAAAATGTGGAGCGACAGACAACGGTTGAGAGGAGAGCCACGTGACTGGCGCCCCGCTGCGGCGAGACGCCGATACACACCTCTCCCGAGCGAACAGGTGTGTTTCGGGTCCTCGCCCCTGCAAGAGCTGTGAGCTGACGTCAAGGTTCATCGAGAAACGGGGTTTTCATACTCTGTGCTACCAGATCCTCGCGCTCCCAATCTGTGACCGGGCACTCTGGCTCCGTCGTCGAAGTGGCAGGCTTCTTGAGTATACGGGAAGCTGTGCTCGAATATACGCCGTTTCACGTTGAGTCCGAGCAGTGCCGAAAATGTACCGTCACGGCCGCACAGTGAATGTGGCGTGATCTCGCACATCTTTCTGTGCGCGATTGGTTCAGCCGCTGATAGCAAACAGACAAAGGCGAGGAGTGCCGTGACGATGCCTTCATGCCGCTGCTTGATTGCGGATCTACAAAATCCAACTGAAAAAAAAAAAAAGATCCCGGTTTTTTGATTGCATAAAAATTCTCAAAAGGCACTTCCTGAAAATAAAAAAAAATAAAAAATATTTTTTAACAGTCTGGTTGGGACACTTGTGGTGCATTAGCTGTGATGCAGTCGTGTGATCGAGGAAAAAACAAAAAAACTTATGCTGGATGTTTTTCGCCTACATGTAGACGCCATTGGGATCACTTGTCTTTTTTCGTGCAATAAAAGGTGCGTTCCATACTACGAGTGGCAATGATTCTAGACAACGTATGGCCAGCAGGACAAGATGTCATGTAAGTTCCCAAAATACGAGATGTGATCGAGGAATTGTTGTGTTTTCATGACAGTAATTAAAACTAGACCATAAAAGTGCGTTCTTCACTCGCAGGGAAAATCTAAAAAAGTTTCCGCATCTGCTTTTCTTTAAAATTATATTGTGATTTCGGTCATCACATAACATCTACGTTTGTGCAATGCCTCTAATGGCTGCGACTGAAGTGTTGGATGTAGGCCAAAAATGTTTGTTAGTTTAAATGTACGATCTTAACAAATGACTCGTCGATAGGTAAGCTTGCCTGTGTTTCTTTTTTTCATATTCTAATTTTAATAATGATTTGTTTTTGTGTGTTCTTTTTTTTTTATAATTTTGTGCCTCTGCATAATGAAACAGTTCTCTTTCCATAAGCCCTGTAAAGACTCATATCCATACACACTTTGCATGCTAGGAGCATTCACTTCACTGTAATTACCAAAAAAATGAACGTTATGCTGCTGCTGATTTTATTAACTTTTGTAGAGTCCAAGATGTGTATAAAAGTAAATGGGCACAACACTACCCGTGGCTTTTTGAAGATGCAACAATCGGGACAGTTAGTAATGTTATCTCAAGGAAGGAAATCAGGACAACAATGGCGTCATTGATTGTTCTTCAAGGAAGCAGGAAAAGGAATTTAAAAAAAAACTGTCGATTAAGGTCTGAAAGAAATATTTCAATCTAAAACATTAGTGCTAAGTACGAGCGTCTTTGCTTTGCCCAGAATAAAAAAATAGAAACGCCCCAGTTAGCAGCATTAAGGCCTTGGATGAAGACCTGCTAGACGCAGAATTTGGAACCGACCGTGACGAATGCCGAAAACATGTTATAGAAAAAGAAATACAGAATGAAACGTTACTACAGAGACAGCGAGGCTGAACGAAAGCCTGTACAACTCTGAGAAGCTGCGGCGGCGTCGGGAGCGTCGGGAAAGTCCTCACTTTGGGTTGTGCCGGACTTCTGCTAGACGGCGACGCCGAAACTTTACGCCGCGATGTCCCCGGTGCGTACTGTGTGTACGCACCGGGGACACCCGACACCATCAGAGCCGCGGCTGCGTCGCTCGCAAAGCCCACTGGGAGTCCTCTTCGACCTCGCACCATTTCAAGGAATTCGTGATCGCTGAAAGGTCCCTAAAAGAACTTCAAACTCGAAAGTCAAGCGTCGTCTGCTCACAGCGATAGGCAGCACGGTTGATCGCCGAAAGTCAGACGCGAGTTGCAGGACGACTCAGTTTTTGACGTCGTTGCACTGGCGCGGATCGCGAGGGAACTTCAAAATCGACTTTTAAATATTGTGTTTTTTTTTTTTACTTCACAAACATTGAGTTTTTGAGCTTCAAAATGTGAGGGTAATGTCTAGGCATCGTTTTCAATCGTTCGGAATAAAAAAAAATATTCTGACCTGTCAGTGCCCTTTTAAAGGGAAACTCCGCCGATTTTTTTATAGTCTTTGATTTTCGGCAGACCGCATCAATAACCCTTTCTCAAGTCATAGCCAAAATATTTTATAAAAAATTAATTTTTCTCGTGAACCTTTTGAATTTTCCAGTTACGCCAACAGCAAGGGTTCCAGGAGGTGGCTTTCCACTGGCAGGCGGACGAGAGACCCGAGCAGCTGCGAAGCGGTTTTCTGGACACCAGCGATCGAGATTATTTTTTCACAGCTTCAAAGTTGAAAGTTCCTTTGCAAAATGGGTAACAAGCGGTAGATCGTAGGAACAATGTCGGGAAAAGCTTCTCTTTTACGCTTGTTTTCGTGGGAGAAAAAAATAAAAAAAGCTCCCCGGCAGCAATGGAGGCCAGCAACGTCAAGGTGTTTTTGCGCGAGCTGTGTGCCGAGAGAACTAGTGTCGCATGAAACATTCTCGCTAATGCTCGCAATATTTTATATTGTTACGGGCTTGAGTACGTGACTACGTACTTCATAGCCGCGTGCTGCGAGTTGAGTTTCCTTCTGCAGCTGGAGCAGCTTCAAGAGTGGCAAGCGCTGACTCAAGCCGGCTGTGACCACACCATCTGTCCAGAGAGGAGCGCTAACAACATCGACGAAAAATAGTGTAAATTTTAGCACTATAGCCGACATTTGTCGCTGTCACATTTGTTGTTCACAATTGCTTCAGTGACTTTTTTTTTTCTTTTTTTCATAAACACTATATTTGCTTTCGACATTGAATATTGCCGCGCGCAGGGCTGAGAAAGCAACGCTCGGCCACGGACCCCTAGAAAGTTCCCGTTTATTCATGTGGCGCACGTAACTTCTATTATTTATATCCATGTATCTTCTGCTTTTGTTTTCTAGAAAGTGCGTGTTCATTCTCGCCCCCATCACGCGACGCTCGAGCCGCTTTCGCCGAATCTTCGAGATAGCGACGCACTCTAGATAAGAGGCCGCCCGCGACATTGTCGAGTCAGTCTCGCCCCAGCGCTCGATTCTGCTGACACGCCGACTTCGACGCCCGCGACGCTCTGCTTTCTTCTGTTTCCTTCTTTATTTTTGGCACAAGTTCGCCACATTAAACGTTCATTTATTTCTGTTTATTTCTTGTTTATTGGTCACGACTCACCACCCGTGACATTCTGGTGGAGGTGCGGGGTACCGCATGCCCGTGCAGCGTTCCCCTCCCAGGACCCGCAGTGCAAGCCCGACTCCAAGCTCGCTGAGAAGACCACTCAGCGCGGAACCTGAAACTCGGACCAGCCGCCGCACCAAGGGAGAGGATCCGGAGTACGGTTTGCTCCTGGATAAACCCAAGCCGAAGAAGACGACGATGGCCAACCAGTCGCAGGCCCCCGCCGCTCCTGCCGTCGTCTACCTACCCGTCGCTCCTCGGACACCGGCTCCGTTCCACGGCGAACTCCACGAAGACGTTGAAGATTGGATCGACCAATTCGAACGCGTCGCCCGCCACAATAGCTGGACCAACGAGCAACGGCTGCAAAACGTGTATTTTTCGCTCGAGGGGACTGCCAGAAGCTGGTACGAAAATCACGAGTCTTCATTGACATCCTGGGACATTTTCAAGAGCCAGCTGAAGGCGACATTTGTCAACCAGCACCGCCGAGAGAGAGCCGAAGACTTACTGCGTACCAGGACTCAAGGCCCCAACGAGAGCATCACCGGCTTCGTGGAGGATGTTCTCCGCCTAAGCGCCCGCGCCGATCCTCAGGCTACCGAGGAGAAGAAGCTGCACCACCTGATGAGGGGTGTGAAAAGCGAGATTTTCGGCGGTCTCATCCGGAATCCCCCAACAACAGTCGACGAGTTCATCACGGAGGCGACAAATATGGAACGGGCGTTGCTAGCCCGCGCCAGACACTACCAACGACACCCTGGCGTAACTACTCTAGCGACATCTGGATCCGACCTGGGCACCACCCTCCCCGACATCCGTGACCTTATCCGTGAAGCCGTCCGGGAGGAGTTGAAGAAGTTGCTACCTGCTGCCACAAGCCTGGATACGCCCTCAGTCGCCGAGATTGTCCGGGAAGAACTTCAGCAGGCGCTGCAGCCAGAAGTTCTCGCCAGCGCCGCTCCTGAACCACCGAAGCTGAGCTACGCCGCAGCTACCCGACGACCACCGCCCCCTGCTCACCCGTATACGGCGCCACCTCTACGTGAACCTCTAGCGCCGCAGTATTCACGACGCCATGAAGATCGGGCGTACGTCCGCCCAGAACAAGCTGCTCCACGAAAGACCGACGTGTGGAGGACGGCCGATCGACGCCCGTT